TGTTACTTTCACTTCACGTGAAATCAAAACAGCAGACTTGATGCTCACATTACAAACGTATGGGAGCAGACACTAAACCCAATGTTAACTTATTTTTCCTCATAAAATGGGAAAGAAGAAAAAAAATTTTTTAAAATATACTTTATGGAACAGAGCAAATTGTTTTAGCACCCCAGCGTAAATTACAGACACGGATATTCTCTTATGAATGCTAATGCATCTGAATTAATGCCACATCCTTTTAGCACAGACACAGGAACAAAGGATCAAAAGCCAGAAAACATGTTTTTGTCCATTTTTTTTTTTGCTAATGGTTTTTTTTTTAAATGTGCGATTCTTTCAAAAGCTAAAAATCAAGCAAACCCTTTCTGTTCATCATGYATCAAATCTTCACCTTTACAATTCTTCTGAACTGGATGCCTGCTGAAGAGCCTTTTGTTTATTACTTACATGCTGAGCTTTATWATGAATTTAACAAGCTTTTAAATCCAACAAATGTGCATCAACATTTCCTCATCTTAAATCTAAAAATGGGTCTGATGTTAAACAAAAAAGAAAACTAAATSAGGAAAAACTGACACTTCTGTAGAGATTTCTTGTTCCAAAGTATAAGACACATTTATTGTAGTATCACAATAAATAAAAGGGTACATAAACCTAATTTGTGTTGTATTATGTTACTATAACTTGCCAAAAAGTTTGAAAAAAAAACTTAATTAAATCCAATCTGTTTATGCAAGTGATTAACATCTGGCTTCTGAATCCATCTATTGTAAAGACAAATTTAAGAAAATGAAGGAAATTCACTTTTTTTTCACAAAAAAGAATTTACATTACATACAATGACTTTTTCTGGCACTTTTTCAAATTCTCCTAATGAAATCTAATTTAACTGCTAACATTATTCTGTCAGATATTTAATGGATTATTGAAGCAAACATTTAAAACATTTATTGTTCTTGATCATATCACAAATAACCTAATATTTATTAACTAGAAAACTCTATGAAATTGGTACTTTTAGAATTTAATCAACAAAAAAAAAGAAAAAAAAAAGAAACTGAATTTCAGCTTTAGTCTTTGTGTGCAACTAAAATGTCAGGATCTGTTTTTTATTTTTTGTGTTTATCTTTAGATCTGTTTCTTTTGTTTTTATTTTCCATGTCTTCTGGATTTTCCCAGTTCCCCTCTGCCATCTGTTTACCTTTCCTCAGTTAGTTTCTGCCCCACCCGCTCTCACCTGTTCTCAGTTGTCATTYTACCCTGTCGTCTCCACTCCACTCATTCCTGTCCATTGTTGTGCTTTTTGCCATGTCTGCATCTCCTCGTGTCTTTGCTGCCACACCAGCCCTTTGTTTTTCCTGAATAATAACACATTTTTATTTAAGTTCCTCAGTCTGCAGTCCTGGTTTAACCTTCCACAAACCTTKTCATAAAAAGACATAACAGTGAGAAAGCTGGACCACCATAAGCTTTATGCTTTTGTTGCGTTATTCATTTATATTAATGTTACTGTATGCTATATGTAGTGCCATTTATATAATAAATAAAATGAATGAATAAAAAAATTGAGATTTAAATGTGCTGTTGTAAGGATTTCAATATATTTTATGTCCCACTGTGCATATTTACACAATGGCAAAACAAAGTTTTACTGAAATAGCTGAAATCATTACCGTTTGAGAAGTTTGTAAAAAAAACTTTTAAAGTTAAAGTGATTGCAGAGTTTGAAGTTGGTTTTGCAAATTGATTCCAGCAGAGGGCACCCATTCTATTATATTTTATTGAAATTCAGTTTGTTGAACTCGTGAAGCATTTATTAATTAAAAAGACATAAAACAGAACATTTTYAAAATACCTTTTTATTTCCACAAACTGATACAATTTTCTGAAGCCTTGTTCAAGACACTTTTGATCAAAATATATCAGGATTGCTGTATCAGAGCTTGAAGCAGGGTTAGAGCTGTTTTATAAGCTTTAGTGGGTTTACTGCCTCATCTTCTCACTGCTTCTCTGCATGGTGTGATGTTTACACTTATTATTTTAATCTGGTAACCTGAAGAGCACATGAATAAAGCAGGTGCACTCATGTTGTTATTTCTCTGTCACATATCAGCATCATAAACAGCATTCTACAGTGTGGGTTTGTTTTCTTTAGGTTTTCAAAAATAATGTTCTTTCAAAATTGGTAAAAAATGAAATAATTAAAACATTTTCATCAAGTTGTTTTTTGACAATCAGACATTTAATAAAGAAAGGCTTAAAAGTATATATTTTTCCTTTGTTAGATTGATATCAACTGGACAGTAAATGCAGCATGATTTGACATGTAATTTGCAAGATTGTCAAGATAATGAGGTGGGATTTTTTTCTTCTCTGAGCTGAAGACGTGAGACGTCCAAACACATACTCTTAAATTAAATTAATATTTCCTTTTATTGCTGCAACAAGTGCAACATTCGTGAAATAACTGTAACCACATTTACAATCCAGGAAGTGTAAATGTTCAGCTGTGACATGGACAAAAACACGTGACCTGACAACATGTTTCAATGCTATGGAAGCCCATTTCCGCCACCCTGATAAAAAATAAAACTTGTATCTCATAATTATGACTTAGCTATCTCAT